AAGACCCAGAACAATAGAAATTGGACAAAATCACTGGCCCCATGTGTTCTTTCTCTGTTTGCCAGGAAATGTGACATGGATGCCGAAGTGCTTCATGCATCTCGTTCTCTTCTCCAGGCGGTTTGGCACAGGCTTCTGACCCATGCGCCTCAAACATTACCTGTTGATGAAGTGACAGGTATCTACTTTGTCTTGTCCAGAATTAGGTGTCAGAAGTAGCCATCATTTCCAAACATGATATGAGGTCAAAAATGTCTCTGTCTCATGGTATGGACACCAGTGAAAGATGTGACTTCTGCTTTTCAGCCAGAACTGGACCCTGTGGGGCAGCTCAGCCTGGAGCCCACTGATAGGCTGTATCTTGGTCAGAGAAGCCCGTCACCCTCATGACTGTTTTGGGGGCTATGAAATGGGGATGATGAGGATGATGGTGGTGCCTCACTGAGTGATCCCCTAACACACAAGCCATTTTCACAGTAAGTCCCTCCCTTACTAGGGCATGGCACACGGTAATAACTGTTCGTATCACCCACAGTCAAGAAGAGAGATGAATAGGCACTTTCTAGCTCTGTAGGCTAATTTGCCCTCTACTAATGTGTTCAGGAGTCAAGATTCAAGAGTCATGGCTTGGGCTTTTCTGGGTGGAAATGTGTGATAGTCCTGTGACCTGGATTCAGTGTTCAGCAGAGGGACACAGGGGCAGAGACTAATGCTGACCCCTTCACAGTGGACCTCCCTCCTTTAAACACCAGAAATAAAAGAGAAGAAAAGAAATAAAAGAGGCTTTCTGCATTGGAGATGCATAGCTCTGTGTTTCAGGGTTTACCATGCTCTTTCAACATCACACCAGATCATCAATTTCTTTACCATTTTCAGTTTCAAGGGTGTCTAATAGCTCTTGGAGGAGGCAAAGTTAGGCTGGCCACTGAGTCTGCCTCTGTGGAGCCTTGGTGATATAGGAAGACTGTTTTAGAACAGTACCAGAATGGCCTTGCTCCATTTAAACGGAAGGTATAGACCCCAAAGGAGAAGCCATCAGTTGTACCCCCCAGTGAAATCGCCTTGGTTTTATGAAGGGGTAGCATGGGAAGTGTACCTTGGAGGGAGTAGCTTTGTTAATAGCAACAATAATAATAGTTCATGATGATGACTGAGCCTTTAAATATGCTGGGCCTTACAAACAAGAAGCAAATAAGACACCATCTAAAAAAAAAAAAAAGACACCATCTGCACCCTCAAGGACTTTGCAAACTAGTAAAGGGCAGGGACATGGGCAGGGCTGAACAAGCAGTGTGACTTGTATTGGAGAAGTCATCATGGAGGGAGGAAGGACTGGCTCCAAGAAACTGGGCTGCAGGAATTGCCCAGGGATGAGGAAGACAGAGGCAGCTCCATGTACAATGGCACAAGATGGGGAGAGAGCAGGCCATCAGGAATCAGTTCCTAATTCCCGTGGTGTGTGGGCGAGGCTAACAGCCAGGAGAGGGCGTGGACAAGCCTAGAGGTAGCCAGGATCAGAGCCTCAACCCTGGCCTCTGGCAGTGCTCTGTGGGCTGCACAGCTGGCACCTAGGCCCCGCTTGCAGCTCCAGCTGCCCTTCCATACCAGGGAACACCCCACAAAGGAGTGTGGCTCTGCAAAGCTGTGAAGCCAACCTCCAGTGGTGTGATTACATAAACCCTAGAAAACATCCAGTCAGAATGCTGATGAGACCAGGCAGGGGTCCGTCCTGAGTACAACCCATCCTCCCATTAATCATCAGATAATGCACACCGACGCCATGAGCTTTACTTTGCTCTGGTCTCCCTCGGCAGAGGACTTGGACCTTGTGTTCTATGTGGGTTTGACAACTGCCAAGACAAACCTAGCCTGATTCAAGCCTCAGGAAATGAAGGGTCTTTGGGGCTTCCCCACATCTAATAAGGTGCTTTTTGGCAAAATGCCTCCCAACACTCACCCTCTGGCTTAACCCAAAATGAGGGGTCACTTTAGGATAAAACCAACTCACTGCCATAAATTGAATGGAAGTGAAAATGGCTCTTTATGAAGATGTCAGCAGCTTTGCTCTGGATCAGGTGTAAGGCCTGTGGTCTGGTCCTGAACCTCCAGGCTTTGCAACTCACCTGACATGTGGCCATGGATGATTACTAAGTGCACTGAGCTCTGGGTTCTTTGTATGAAATACAGGGAAAAGGAAGGCCTTCTTCATAGGCTTGCTGTGAAAATTAAGTGAGACTGCTATTTATATGTGACCCTGTGCTAGCTTTTGCTTCCACAACTGTTCTATTTCTCTTTACGTGTGGTTTTGATGCCCAAGAGAGTGGCACATTCAGCCATCAGCAGAAGGGGCAGAAGAAAAGGGTGCTGATGGCTAATGAGATGCTGCAGACTCTTTTCTTGTGGAAACAAAGGCACCTTTTGTTTCCAGTTGGGTCAAAATGTTTGCTTGACCATCCTGGACTACAGACAAAAGCAAGATTGATATCCTGGATGACTGTCTGTATGGTCAAGTTCAGATACATAATGCTATCAGGGACTTTGTACCAGACAGCCACGTGGGAGGTGCTTTGGCCCCTGGCACATCCTTTCGGGCCTGCTTCATCAGCCAGGTTCACATGGTGTCACTATCACGAACATAACATGCACCAGGAAGCTTGTGGTAGGAAGAAACTGGGTCTCTAGAATCTATAAGATGTTCATTCGCCAGGAGCTGCAGGTGGTGTCTAAGATTTTAACCCATTTATTTTTTGACAAGTGAAATCACTAAGTGCAGGACTCTGGACAAAGTTGGTCTACTTTTCTAGACTTTAGTTTTTTTCAGCTGGAGAAACAGAAGATTGGCTTAGATTTACATTGATTATAACTGGTATCCGTGTAGGTTCCACTTTTGGAACTTTCTGTTTAACTCATGTAACAAACAAACACCAACCTAGTCCTTCCATGACCAGCTGTGGCAAAGGCCTCTCCTGGCCCATGGGGGTGAGGCAGGGTTTGAAATGAGTGGGATGTTTAGGGGATGTTTGTATTCATCAGATGATGCTTTTGATTCCAAGCTTCAGAACTTAAAGCCCAGGACACTTGGAAAGGACAGTGGCCTTGGGCCTCTTGGTCCAAGAACTCTTTGAACACCCACCAGGCTGTCCGCAACAATTGTGATTGGCTAACTGGCCTCTGGCACAGATGGTATGGGTGCTGGTCTGCAGAGATGCGTGCCCCACAGCAGCTGAGGGAGGGTCAGAATGCCCCTTGCATCTCATCATCTTTCTTCAAATGCCTCTGGGAAGAGAAATAAGCACTTTGTATAATGAGGAAAATAACAACCATAGTCATAATAATGAGAAAAGCCAAATAAGCACATGTAAGTGCATTTTTTTTCTTCGAGATTTATTTTTGTTTGATGAATCTGACACCAGTCAGGGAGAGAGGAGAATGTTGTGGCCCAGCAGGAAAATGGGCACCCAGAGGGGGGCTGCTGCTTCCTGCTTTGGTGAGTTGGGTGATGTTGGGGTTGGTTGATTGGTTGTGGATGTTTTTTTCTTTTGTTCATGTTTATAAATCTCTCCCAGGCCTTGCGAGCTTTCCCTCCCTCCCGCCTCCCTTCCCCTGCCCCCAAATTTCATTTTTAAAAAGCGAGCTTGCTCGCCAGGTGTGTCCCCCAAGCTCTCGCAGCTCTAATAAATAAGGAGCACCTGTAAAACAGTAGCTTGACTTGTTAAGTGACTGTACAAAGGAGAATATAGAAATACAGTATGTACACGCATCCATGGCCCCAGTGGTGCAAGGTCGATGTGACTCACCAGGGACCTGCCCTCCCACGGTGAACTGCCCAGGCTCCACAGCCTGGTGTGTGGGGGGGTACCTGGACCCCTCCAGAGGGAACAATTGCTTTTGAGTTAGTAAACAGATACACTGAATCACAAGGTGATTTTTTTTAAGTTTTCTTCTCTCTCTCTTTCTCTCGCTCGCTCTCCTTTTTTTTTTCTTAATTTTTTCTTTTTTTTCTCTGTACTTATCAGACTGGGGTACTCCACAACTGTCTCACCAGCTCAGTGCCAGTACACATGCTCTAGAGGACTCTGGACTTGCAGCTACGACTGTACAAGTGCACACAAGTAAATCTACCCTGTTATCCTCCACCCACTGATTGAGGATCCAATTGCACATTTCTCTTAACCATGACAGGAGAAAGCAAACAGTGAAACAGAATCACAGGCAATCTTTCTCACTTTCTCTCGTTTTTCATTGGTTTGTCCATACCATTCTAATTATCACGAAAGGGCTCTGGTAGAGAGAGATTGTCTCACTGACTTCCTGGATCACCGAAAACCATCACGGTTGAAATTTCATCCGAGTCTTTCGTGTCGCCCAGCAAATATTCCCCCCTCGGATTATTTTACACCTTGAGGGTATTTTGGTCTTCAGTTCAACACTCTTGCTCTGTTCCCAAATGGGGCGCTATTTAGGGGAATTTCAAGAGAAAGCTGAGAAGAATAAACATTTACCGAGTTCTCTTGGCATTCAGTCTCTGAAAAAAACCACAGTATAAACTATCCATGCTGCTTCTTACATCTGTCAAATCGAAAATTAAAAGCCATAAAAGTGTAACACTGAAAATATGGCATCAAAAAGGAGAAAGGTGGCCTTTGTAAAAATAACAAGAAAAGTATATTAGCCAATAAAATATTCTAACTCTTCATTTAAAAGTGCATCCTGGGCTGGACAGAGATGAATCTGAAGTATCAGGACTCCAACACCATCCCTCCCCACCATCAAAACGTGAACAGCATCGGTCCAAAACCATACAATGCAAATCACAATTTTTAGTGTAGCAGCAAAACCACAGCAGTTTTTAAAAAGATTTTAAAAAAGATTTTTCTTTTCCAATCCGTATCATCTTCCAGGAGTCTTGAAGATGGGGCGGGGAGAATACCTACATTGGTCCTTGTGGCTTGTTGGTGTTTTGTTGTGTTGTGTTGTGTGTGTGTGTGTGTGTGTGTGTGTTTTAAACCAGGGCGAAATCCCTAAGTTCCTCTGGGGAGAAGCAGAGCTGATGGCAGCAGGAAGGCTGGGCCTGCTTGCTGGGTCCAAGACGTGCTGGCTTCTCTGGGCTGGAGGCCACCGAGGGAGGGCTGCTTCCTCTGAGATGCTTAATGACAGGAAGTGGCTTTATTTGCTTGACTTTTAGCCAGAGGGGGTGGTGAGCTGACCAGCTGGTGTCATTGGATGGCGTGTCATGGTTTACTCCGCACCCTCTCCATGCAAGGTACCCTGGGAATGCTCATTCCTGGGAAAAGAGAAAGGGCCATCAGAATGCACTGGGTCAAGTCTTCTGTTGCCCCCCATTCCCTGCCCAGCTGAGGGGAGCTTGGCCTGAGCCAGGGAGCACCCCCCCCCCCCCCCCCCCCCAACAAAAAACAACAACCCTTTGGCCTGAGCCCCCGCCCTCCCCCCTCCCCGGCAACCTAACAAGAATCCCTACAACAAAGGCAAGGCAACATAGCGTGATTTCAACATGACTTTCATTCATGGCCTGCTCTGGACAGTCCTGCCAGCTTTGTGTGAGGAAATGAAACCTGAACCCTCTTTGGAATACCATAATGACAGGCTGTGCCACGCCCTCAACAAAGACCACAGCATCCTTTACCACTCAGTACCCAGGACTGCAGGCTTAACCAGTGCATAGTCTTGCTAGTCCCCAAGGTCACTCTATAGCCAGTCAAGGACACTCCCCTACTCCCACTCCCATGCCTGAGTTCCAGACCACACCCTGGCACTCCATGTTGCAGATCTGGTATTTTTTGTGTTTAAAAAAGACCAAGAGATTCACTTTGTAGCAAAGAAAAAGTTACAGTGGATACCATAGCACTTTCTTTACAAGATTCCTGCAGAGGTGATTAAGCTGGGAGAAAGGCTTGTCTCTCTCTGTAGATCTTACCTGTTAAAGGTGAATCATATCCATCCATTCACAACCAAATCAAACAGGAGTACAGGACTAGAGGACAATAAACCAGACAGGCCTCATGTGATCAAGGGAAGAAGGTGTAAATAGACTGTTTCAAATCTGTTTTGGGGAGCACTTGTCTCCACATTCACCATAGACCTGAGGCTCTGCCTTTTTGTCCTTACTGGTTTGATTTACAACCAGAACCTTGGTCTGAAATACAGCCTCCTTAGGACCATTGGGATTCCCAGGAAGCAACCACCTGGAAGTCTGCCCAATGAACTGTGAGATCCCTGAGGTCTGGGACTGCAGTGTCTTGCATATTGTCAGGGAATCAGGAGTCCAGACCCTCACAGGTGCTTGACACATGCTGGCAAAATAAATCAGAGCTCTTTTCCATGATGTCCTCAAATAGTCCTCCACCCTTTTTTTCCCCCATTTCCAGCCAATAAATGGGGAATCCGAAATGTGAATGGGTGATATGTGAGGTGGACTTGTAAACATCTTTACAACTATTCAGAACACTGAGCAATCATTTCAGAAAGGTGATAGAATTTAGGACTTGAAGGGACCCCAGAGACAACATACTACACTTTTCCTCATTTTAGAGGGTCTGGAAACTGGCTCAGGGTGTTTGTAACATGAATTTAGCACATGAGAGAGGAGGTCAAATGCCCATTGGGAGGGACTAAGTAGAAGCTTGTGTTTTGAACCCTGCTATCCAAATCCTGGTGTTAACGGCAACGATAATAATCATCAGCCAAAAACAAGGCTTGAAAATCTCAATGTGCACGACAGGAAATGCCTGAGTTCCCCAAATCACATTAAATCACCAGATCAGTGTGCATTTAATATGTATATTAAATAACCAAAGTGAAAATGCAAAACACCACAAATATGCGTTGGGGGGGGGGAATTACAAGGCCATAGAAACCTTTCCATTTGGCATGGTCAGACTTACTTGGAGATGGGGGTATTTATCTCTGAATAAAGAACTCCACTGCTCTCTCTCTTTCTCTATGTATATCTTTTGAGAATGAAGGACAAAGAAAGAAGAGATAGAAAAACAAAGCCATCATGAAACAAAGGGTGGGAAAGGAGCTGCAGAAATGACAGCTGGGTGGAAGACATATGGGTAGCTTCTTCTGGAGCTAAGGTTCTGCAGAGGGAGGGAATTCATCCCACCTCTGGGCCTGAGACCAAGAGTGACCACATCTTGGAGTCCAAAGGGGCCTCCAAATTCTTTCTTTAAAAGGGAAGATGGGGGGGGGGGGAAAGGTGTTTAACATTTTCTTCCAGTGATTGGGAAACAACACCATTTTTAATTGCTCACTTAAAAAGTGCCAATGCTTTTCCAATGAGCTTTTTTTTTAAATGTAATACTACCAAAAGGAAAAAAAAAAGAGTATCTCTCAGATAAATTTCTTTGTATTCAAATCACCTTTGGACAAAGGCCAAACATGTCCGGCATAATCCTGCTTGGAAAAAAATTTCCAGGCTTTCATAAGAGGCTGGGAAAACGGGATTATAATAAGAGCCATTCTGGAACCTTAACTACAGCGTTTGCCATCCCAAACACTATAATAATCATTATTATTCTCTGGTATCTATTATTGTCTGGTAAATAATATGTGTTTTCCCCAAAAGTTCTAAAGGGTGCAGCTGCACGCCGCTCTATTTTTTGCAGCCCCACTCCCCAAAGCCTCCTCACACAGAGCTTATTTTAAGAGAACCACAGAGTAGACCATTTGTGCCCATCCTTTCCTCTCACTGTAAACTTGCCATGCCTGGGACATTCCCGAAGGCCAGATGGTGGCAGTACAAGCCCCTTTCTGCTGGGAACTTTTGAGGAGGGGGGTAGTTCTGAAGCCAGCCTCCTCAGTTCTACTGGTTCTGGCAGGTTCAGAGTGATCTCCTTGTTGGTGACAGGGACAGAGACTTCAGAATCAGTAACAATGAAGACCGAAGCTTGGGCTACACTTTCGTGATATTTGTGATGGGATCAATGGAAACCAACAAGACAGAGAGGAAGTGACCTTTGGGCTTTAGGAAGTTGGTCTTGGCACCTGCCACCCAGAGGGGCTCTGTGAAAACACGCGCCCTCTCCACTTCAGTGTCCTCACCTGTACAAAAATGAAGTGACTCCAGTGAGGCCCTCACTGTGTGACCTCAGGCCCATTCCTTCCTGACCTCTCCCCAAGTCCTCTCCCTGAAATGTGGGCTTGGGTGAGGCTTCCAATGATATCTGGCTCTGGCAAAAGCCCCTACATATCAAATCAAAAGCCCCTACCTATCAAATATGTAGTATCATCAGTTTGGGCAGCTAGATATTAATATGTTGCCAATATATAAGGAAGTTTACTAATGTCTGGCTTTTTTAGCCCAACATTTCACTTTATTTTGTTCTATTAATCTGATATGAGCCCACGTATGCTCATATCCTCTCTCACACACACACATTCAGATATCTCTAGGAGAGAATTTTGGAGTGCCCTGGATGCAAGAGGCAGAATAACTCACCTCTGATGCATACATAATCCCATGCAAACAAGCCCATATCTTGTACCATGCATATGCCATATATAAGCCTAATACCACTATGCATGGTCTTTTATGGGGTATAGGTGGTCAACTGTCTTCAGAATTCCAGGTCTGCCTACCCCTTTTGGCCAGAGGAATGACATGCCCTCTTAAGAAATTATCAGCACACAAGAGTGCTGAGTATTTTCCCATTCCATCAGGGAAGCATTGCTAAGAATGTGATTTTCTTATTCAGCTTACTTTATCACAAAGACTGCCCAGAGAACAAAAGTGTACCTGTGAATTGATTTTAAAAAATTCTGTAAAATATCCAAGAAACCAGCTCCCAAAGTAAATGTAGACACTGAGAACAAATAACATCCTACAACCCAACCTAGACCTTCTGTGATGTGATACCACCTCTACCTAGAAGCTTGCCTCTGTCAGTCTATTCCATGTCCCACCTTTTACTGCCTTTCTCAACTACATTAGTGATTTGCATCATCAAGATCCGGTAGGTCTGTCCTGTCTCCCACATTCAGAAGGCAAGCTCCCTTGTTTATCATATTTACTCCCAGGGGTCTAAAACCCTGTGGCATCAACTCTATCAATTCAAGAAATGCCTGTTGCCAAGTGAACTTGCCTTTGTCCAATTACCCCAGTCCTAGCAGAGATCCACTCAGTTGGGCACGACTGCCCATCACTTATCACAGTTAAATACAGCTATTACGTGCTGGCGGTGGCAACGCTGTTTATCTAGGACAATAACGAGTCCCTGAGGACGAGACTACTCTCAGGTAGCCACAGCTATTCTAGGACACTTACAAGGGCAGAGCCCCATGGTCAATGAACAGAGCCGCCTGCAGCAGCTGATAAACGCTGAGTGTGATGCCAGATAGTGGTCTCCCACTAAGTCCATCCAGGGAGGGTACAGCTTTGCCAAAAGGTGCTTCTCACTTCCTTGACAACCATTGCTTTAGAAAGAGTTTTGAAATGGCTTTGAACAGAATGGAAACATTTTACTTTTGCAGTAAATGACATCTTTTTGTTTGTTTAGGTTCTGGGTTTCAACTCAAAGCCTTGTGCTTGCAAGGCAGGTGCTCTATCACTTGAGTCACAACCCCAGTCCTTTTTGCTTCAAGTATTTTTGAGAGAGGCAGGCATTTATGCCCAGGCTTGCCTAGATCTTGATCCTGCTATTTACATTTTCTGAGTAGCTAAGATGACAGGTATGCTCAACCATTCCCAACTTTTTCATGGTTGAGATAGAATCTCACAAATGTTTTGCCCAGGATGGCTTAAAACTACCATCTTCCTGATCTCAGCCTCCTAAGTAGTTATGATTACAGGTGTAAGCCACCACACCCATCAGCACCTCTATGCTCAGAGTTCATTAATTAATGCAAATGATTGAAGAATAGCCCTTCTTTCTAGTATGCTTGTGATAGGAAGTGATCGCTGGTAATGAGAGGGTGAGGGGCTGAGGGTGAGCTTCTGCTTGGCTTGGGGCAGGGCTCTGTCTGAATTGCAGCTTTGTCTCCATGGTGCCACTCATCCTGTGGCACTGATAAGCCAAGGCTCATGCATATTTAAGAGCTGTTTAACCACATATAAGGCTTTGCTTAATACTTTTTTTTAGAAAGTTTGCTCCTTTAGCTATTTCTCATTTTATTCCTTAATCACAACCATACAAGACCCCTCCCCACTGTTACAACTATCTTTAATTTGTTTTATACATGAAATTTTTGCTTTTCTTTGCTTAATTGGTTCTGTATGTTATATGGAGAGGCCTGAATGTCCCAACAAGTGGTCATTGCTATTTC